ACTATAATCTTTAGCTAGAGACAGCCAAAAGTTTTAAAACACTTTATTCACTATTTTAATTCCTTTCTATTTAAGTTGTGTAATCAATATCAAGAAAAATAAGTTAGGTACAAAGAATTGACAAGAATCAAAAGCTGGTAAGACTGATTTAGAACTCACCATTTCTGACTTGAGCACGCCTGTCAGCCTACCCACCACCTGTCCACGTGGCCCATAGTTGTGCCATGTGTTTTCTGGTGTGTTAGTCTACAACTGGAGCTGAACTACACTTGAAATTGCCTGAAGTACTATTGGGAAATTCTGTCACATGGACCTCTTTTCTCTCCTAATATGTTTCATTGAAGGTTTCCTTTGTTCATACCCAAAATACGTGTTTGGTCTTAATAGTATAGAGAAAGCCTACACTAATTTGTCACACTGTAGGTGGTTTCGAGTTTTTACAAATTATTCTCATTTTATTCCCTTTTCTCTTTTCATTCTAATATAGAAATTGCCCAACTTCTCCTGATAGTCTCTGATGGACGAGGCCTTTTCCTTGAGGGCAAAGAAAGAGTCCTGGCAGCGGTTCAGGCTGCCCGGAATGCTAACATCTTTGTCATTTTTGTTGTTTTGGACAGTCCCAGTTCACGGGTAAGTGACTACTAGAAGCCACATTTTCTGGAGAAAAAGAGATTCCTTTCAATCTGTTTTAAAATACAGCTTGGGGCTGCTTTCTTGTATTGAGAAGTCCTAGTGTATAAGGTGTTATATCAGGCCCTATTCTTTATGTAATATTCATAGTAACTCAGGGAGATAGGGAATATTTTTCCACTTAACAATGAAGGACAGGTCTGGGGAGATAGCTCAGCAGCATAAGTGCCTAGGCCTGGTAAGTACGACGTCCTAAGTTTGATCCCAGCCAGTGAAGGACAGAAATATTATAGGTAATGAGTAGGAGAGCCAAGACTCACCCAGACTCGCAAATCTGTCTTCTGCGTCATAGTTTCTTCTGTGTAGCAGGTATTACAGCCTTGATAGTACACCCCCACTGTTACTGAAGACCGGCCCTTCCACTATTTCACCAGTCCTCAAGGCAGAGCAGTTCTATTTCTGAGGAGGCACTGTCCCTGCAGGAAAGACAAAGACTTAGGAGGAATTACTGCTATGGATAACAGAGACACTGTTGTAGACAAGGTGGATTTTTTGTTTATCCTTCTTCCTTTTTAAGTCATTTTCCTGGTTCAGGTGTTCAAAGAGATCTGCTTCCTTCTTAATGTGTTCTGGAAATTAAGAATAAGAGCTAGTTTTACATGGAAAAATCAGACCTGAGAGGTAAACTGTCAACAAGAGAGATCATAGATGACAACTGACTTTTCCTTTTTTCTTACAAAATGTCTTTTGGTGACAGGATTCTATCTTGGACATTAAAGTACCAATATTCGGAGGACCTGGAGAGATGCCTCAAATCCGATCCTACATGGAAGAATTTCCGTTTCCATTCTATATCATTCTTAGAGATGTGAATGTGCTTCCTGAGACACTCAGCGATGCCCTCAGACAATGGTTTGAATTGGTGACAGCCTCTGACCACCTGTAGCACAGGAAAAACAGTCCAAAGTGAGACTGAACATATTCAGAAAGTGACATGTTACCAAGTGCTCCCTACTCCTTTTTAAGTAACTGTTTTCAAACTTGCCACTCTAAAATGACATTTTATTTTTATTTCCCCAGTATAGCTCAGACTTCTCAAGCTCTTTGCTTTGCCTCACCTCAATTTGAAATCTGGGGAAGTGAAACTGGGAGAAATCCTAACTGGGGAACCTGATACCTGCTCTAGGAAGCCAGCTCCTGCAGTCTCCTTGCAGGGGCTCCAAACACCCGGTCCCATTAAGTTCAGGCTGGTCTCAAAATTTATGATTCTTCTAAGTACCTGGTATTACAGATGTGTGCCACCATTCCTGACTGTTGGGCACCTTCCTTATGGTGTTGCCAGAGCACCAGGACTAGCCTATGCCAGTTCTTTGGACAACAGGATAAAGAGAGCAGCCCTCTGGATCCTCTCTGATCTCAGCCATGGCAATCTCTTGGCATGAACCACAAAGCTATCCTGTGGCTGAGACACCTACAGTTTTGTGGAAACTTGATTTTGCATTTACTTTTAATCATGAAAAGACTTCTGTTCTCTCCAATGGCAAGAAGCTTACCGTATACATGTTCTCATATTTAGCTGGACATGACAGGAGCCTGTCATCAACAAAGAAGCCCTGGGCTGTGTAAAAATGAAGTGGCTTTTTAGTGTCCTTCATTCACATTTGCTGCTTCGGAAGACTATGCAATGACAGAAAGATTTTTTTTCTGTTTCACTCTCTGAGTGCCATAGTCCCAATTATAGTAATTTATTTCTTTAGTTCTTCCCTTCCTCCCCATTAACAGTTAAGGGGCAGAATCATTCCTCAGTGCTTTCAAGCTAGACTGAGCCAGTCTCATTCTGGAATAGAAATAGAAATGCTGTGTCCACAAGAATGAAGCCCCTACATCTATTTTCTTTTTCTCCATCAGAACACATCAGTGGTTTTAAGGCACTTGGCCAGAAAGCAGTGCTTGAATACTTGAAACTCTCTGCTGTGTTCTATTGAATGTTCTGTCAGAATGTTCTTTGTAGGCAATATGCCATGGTGTATTCATCTATCTCCTTGTTCCCATATTTGTTTTTGTTACACTGTGAAGCCTGTCACCCTTATATGGTGACATCACATACAGCTTGCTTGTTTACCCAAGTGTCCTAAAGCATGTACATGAAGTTATCTCATTTTTTATTCTAAAAATATGCAGTTTATATTCTGAAAACTATTAAAAGATTTACCACTGTTGAGATCATTTGTGATCATTCTTGATAGAATATGACAGGGGATTGATCTTGTGTACTCAGCCAGGAGACCATTCTGTTTATACCAAGCTCATAAGACCCAGCAACTTCAATGGTGTAATACAGTAAGGCTTCCTCATTCATGCTCCTGTCTGTGGTGGGTAGGCTGCAATGTGGCAATGGAAGCAGTGAGATATGCAGAACCGCACAGAGGCTTATGCTGACCTCTCTCCCCCTTACATTTCTCTGACCCAAGCTGTCTCTGAGACAGAAAATGATCTTCCACCATGGTCAGGTCTGGTAGAGAAAGACAGCAACACTGACACTGATATCATCTATTTACCTTTAACAGGCAAGTCTGCTATATCAGATGGGGCTTCCCAGCTAGAGTGCCTGAAGTGGTTCTCATGACTCTTCTGGGATTTGGGAAAGAAAATTCTGGTGAGCAGGCACCCAAGAGGCCACTTACAGCTTGTGCTAGGAATAAGGGGGTAGTGTCACAAGAGCTGATGCTGAGTTCAGACATTCAAGGAATGGGCAGCAGAACACATACTTTACATGCTCTTATAATCCATTTTATACAACTAAAACTACCACCATCTATCAAACGGTTTGCAAAAATCTATCTAGACATCTAGCAAGCCTTGTACATTCCTAGGTATGGCCATTGGTTAATGAATGACTAGGATCCATTCTGAGAAATCTAGTGTCAGGCACTTTTATTGTGAAACAATAATAAACTATATCTGCAAACTAAGACGGCTATGATGTCACTCAGATCATAAAATCTGACGGGGCTACTACCATAAATGTGGTCTGTTGATGACCACATATGCCATACGTATCTGGAGATGCCTGCTGGGGCTACTTGAGCACTCGTTAGATGTATTATGTTCAGAGCTTCAGTTACACCTCAGATCCAAACTTTTCTGCACTAGCCCCACCAGAGTTGACCACTCCAACTGCCATACCATTTACTGAGAGCCAACCTATACATCTGCTTGGCTTCCCTTTCATTCTCAATTATTACACTCGCTCATCTAAGGCAACTGGGGCTTCTAATCTCTAGCCTGGAGTGTCAGTGATCTGCAAACCAGTCATTCATCTGCTTGCTTCGTTTCATCCTAATCAGGACATCCAAGGAAATCTTTATAACATGTCAAGCTAGAAATCCCTCTGGAACTTCCTGCTGTTCCGGCGACTGCAGCTTGTGCACCCCGTCCTCACTGTCCTGGTCCTCTCTACCTGCAGGAGCAGGGGATCTCCAGCACTCATCTGGTCACCGCCTTCCAGAGCTCCTACAGCCTGCCAATGTTGGCATATTGTCTGGAATCATCTCGCTGACTTTGTTTTTCAAATGCTTAACTTGGGGCCGGGAGATAGCTCAGTAGACTAAACGCTTGCTCAGCAAGCACAAAGGGCCTGAGTCCAATCCCCGTTTCTGCCAAAAGAATAAGCTTTCTTTTGGGGCCGGGGAGATGACTCAATAGAATAAGGGCTTGCCTGGCAAGTGGAAGGGCCTCAGGTCAATCCCCAGTTGCGCCAAAGGAAAAAAAATGCTTAAAACTTGCAGGACGAATGAGATTCTACAGTATAAACAGCAGTGCACAGTTGCTTTGGATTGAATTTACAATTTCCTGCCCCAAATTCGAGTCTTTGAAAACAAAGTATATGTAACTTGTGACAGTATTAACAGGCTAGCATGAGAAAATGTTTCTGGAAGGAAAGAGGAAATGTGTACAAAACCAGTAGGAGGTAAAACCCTGTACCTTGTCCAGTTCATTGATATTTTTTTAAAAATAGTGCTTAAACCCACAATGGGACGGAGTGTTACACATGGTAGTGGTACCACGGGGCAAATGCTCTGCGAAAAGAACAAGGAAAATGGAAAGTGCAGGGTGCAAATTACAAATTAACATTTTAGTCCGTTCAGATACAAAGAGACTCAAAATGAGTACCTTTTTCGCTCCAAAAAATTACTTTCCACTTAACGAATTGTTAACTACGTTTCATGCCAAGAACAGCTCCAAATGCATCTTTCTGACTGTCTCCACGATCTCACGGACTCACGCTAGTCAGCGGGACGCGCCCTCCCGCGCTGGGCCCGCCCCGCCCCCCGCCCCGCCACGGAAGTGGTCCCTACACTTCCGCTCCCGTCCCCCACTTCCCCGGCTCTGCGGATATGGCCGCCTCCCGCCTCCCCCCGGGCGCGCTGACACTGAAGCAGGTACCTTACCGGCAGTTCCCAGCGCCCGGCTAGGAGCCCCACTCAGAGCCGAGCTTTTCTGTTGGCCCGCTCTCCCCAGAGTGGCCTCCAGAGCCTCGGCAGGCGTGCACCCTGGGATCGCCCAGGGAGGTGTGCCGGGCTTGCCGTGGGCGCCGCTTTCTTCTTGGGGTCTGGAGGCCTCCTTTCCCAATAAGTTACGTACAAATTGCTCTATGAAAGGGACAGAGTTCCAACAACTGTGTTCATTTAGAAAAAGTACTGGTACCACTCCAGCTCCGAGAAGCGCTTTTCCTTACTACTAGTGAGCTCTTCGTTTTATACCTTCTCAGGTTCGACAGGGAAATAAGCAAACGCCCAAATGCACTTCTTGGTTTCTGTCAAAAGAACGTTTCTCTTTGTCCTTTTTAGATTTGAGAACTAAAGAGACACTGCCTTGGTTACTGTTTTGCTAAGGTACAGCTGGTGATTATGTAGTTGTAAATGTCAGTTCTTACCCCTGCACAGTTCCTGAGAAGGCAGCAAGTCCTCCTCCTCTACAGAAGGATTTTGCAAGCAATTCGGCAAGTTCCAGATGCATCTGACCGCAAATACCTGAAGAACTGGGCAAGAGAAGAATTCAAAAGAAATAAGAGCGCCACAGAAGAGGTGAGAACAAAATCATGGTGAGAACAGAGATGGCTCAATGGAATGTGCGCTTCCCT